ATTTGCAATGGTGGTGGGATGACATCATAGATCTATCAAAGAATTATTTGGTTGATTTTCACTCTAGCGGAGTAACTTCCCATAATACTTATTTCTAATTGCACAACATTTTTATGGAAGTGAAATGATTTAATTGACTGGAGTGCTGAGGAGGTCAGGTAGACTTCAGTATGGACTTTTAAGTTCCTTTTTGTAAATTATGATAATACCTGACAGTTTAAAAGGGGAGCAAGGTAGATTACCTAAAATCCCAACAGATGGAAAGAGCCAGGGAGAGGCCAGGATTGGCCCAAGGGTAGAAGTTAAGCCACTCTTAGCCAGTAGAAGAACTTTGAGAAAGGAAGGGGAGACAAAAGAGTTCAAGAACTGAGGGTTTCAGAGAAAACAAGCAGGCATTCAGGGATGAGAGGCTCCACCTTTGTCCTGCCATTGATTATTGTAAAATTTCTTTCTCTGTCAAAGATCAGATATCTAAAGTCAAAGGAGGGAAGAAAGAATGGGGGTTTAGACTAAGCAAAGCAGTTCTGAGGAAAAAAATAACTGCTTTATATACTGGGATTTTCCTGAGTCCAGGCCCCCATGCCATGAGGAAGAACCAAGTCACCCCAAAGTATAAATTCTCTTGGCTTAAATTCATTCTTCTGGGTTCAGGAGTTAAAAATTGGATGTCCTTGCATGTACTGCTGGTGTTCCCTCCTTTAAGTGTATGGGGGAAGGGAAGGGGAAAGGGTATGAAGAGAAGATAGCAGAGTCCTAAGCATCTCAAACTGTGTCCTAAAATTCCTCTGTTGTGAGGAACCCACAGATTTTGGTGTTCACCCTGGGTATAAGAGAAACTATAGGCCTGAAATTGGAAGGTAATTGTTAAAATGAATTTCAAATTTGTTTTATTCTCTGCCTGAGAGTAAGGCCACTGTATGCATATCACTATTTAGTTGATAATTTGGTGATGGACATCATTGAACTATGGTTACATCACTACGATTAGGTAAAATATAGGAGATTCAGGGAGAGGGCAGGGTTTCAATAGAACTATCCACCAACAAATGTATTTACTATGTGCTAAGTGTTTGGTGCTAGGAATACAAAGAAAAATTAAAATTATGCCTGCTCTCAAAGAGCTTACATCCAAATGGCAAAAACCCCAACATATATTAATATGTTCATATAAAACACCTAGAGAGTAAATAAAACAGAATTTTAGAAGAAAAAGTAATATCATCTGGGAAGACTGGGATAGGTTTTTACAGAACTATTATGATTGAGTAAAATATAAATCAAACATACCCCTTAGAGCTAGAAGTCCTTACATAGATTTCAAGCAGTCCATGAAATTGGAGAGAAAACACACACATGAACATACATACATACAGACACACACACATAATGGAGAGGAAAGGAAAAGGAAGGTGAGGGAAATCACTCTAACATAATAAAGATGCCTCAGCTGAATAGAATTCGAAGATGGAGGAAGGCATCAGAATGTAAATATCCCATGAACCTCACATTATATGAACCAGAAAAAAGGAAAGCTGAACATAAATCTTACAGAAATAGGGACAGAAATAAATACAAAATAGGGAGAGGTACAGAGAGATTGTAATAAATAAAAGCAATAAGCTCAAAAGAAAATAAGAGTGGACAGTGATGAGGTTCTACTAGAGTTTTCATAATGCTATTCAAAGCCTTTCTTATTCTATGGTCAGGGCTCCAGGGCCATCCTGATGACTGACCATTTTTCTCCCACTTTCATAGAATTACACACCTACACACACACACACACACAAGCCACCTGGGCTCTGGATACTGATCAGTTTGGGGGGGAAGGGGTTGGGAATGGAAGGCTGAAGAGGACATTTTAGTAGGTAAGAGAATAGTCATAAGCAAAATGAACTCCAGGATCAAAGGAATGGGTATATGGTGTTGGAGGAGAGAATGAAATAAAAGGAAGAAATGGTAAAAGCCTGAGATTGGGGAAAGTCAAGAATAGAAAAATAGCAATAGAGTGGAAACAACTGACTTGTTTCAACAACTCAGTCAAAGCCTTTGAGAAAACAAAACAAACAAACAAAAAAAGATATCTTAGTCACAAGATTACAAAAGTATTTGGAAGACAAAATAAGAAAGAAAAGAACAGAATCACCAGGAAGGAAAGAATTTCAAGGAGAATTTCAAACTTAGAATAGATACTAGAAAACCTCACCAAAGATCTAAATGTCCTAAAAATAAGAATAGGCCAAACAGGGAGCCTATTCTCCAACAAAGTATTGCTACTTGGTGCAGTGGATAGAGAACCAGGTCTGGAGTTAGGAAGACCTGAGTTCAAATCTGGCTTCAGATGCTTACTAGCTGTGTGAACCTGGCCAACTCACTTAACCCTGTTTTCCTCAGGTTCCTCATTTGTAAAATGAGCTAGAGAAGAAAATGACAAACCACTTCAGAATCTTTGCCAAGAAAACTCCAAAAAGGGGTCAGGAGGAGTTGGACACAATTGAAAAATGACTAGACATAAACAATGATAAATTTTCCAGCAATGACACAATATGGAAACAAAAAAAATTAAAATACAAAAGGAGGAGAAGAAAGAGGAAGTGGAAAAAATCTATCTAAAGATCACAAGCAAAAAAAAAAGTATGGAAATCATATTTCAAAAAACTAGAAATAAAATCTGTCCATATTTCTAAGAACCAAAAGTGAAAATAGAATCCACTGGTTATTCCCTAAATGAAATTGTCAAATGAAAACTCACAGGAATATTGTAGCCAAAATCCAGAGTTTCTGGGTCAAAGGAAAAATGCAAGCAGTCATAAAGAAAGAAATCCAGTGCCAAGGAAGTAAGGATCACACAAAACTTTGCAAGGTCAATATTAAGGAAAGGAAAACTTATAACATGATATTCCAAAACAAAAGATTTAAAATCAAGTATAACTTATCTGACAAAACTAAGGATAATTCTGTAATGGAAAAAAATAGATTCCCAATGTAATAGAAGATTTCCAAACATTTCTGATGAAAAAGCCACAAGGCAATAAGCATTTTGAATTAGAAATATGGGCATTCATAGAAACATAGAAAGTATACTTAATTATTTAATTGAAAGGTAATATGAAAAGATGGACTGTTTATATTTTTAATAAGGTATACATCTCTTCTCATAATTTTAGTATCTTTAAAAGTTATAGAAAAAAGTAAATAAGACAGACAGAGGACCTGAGGTTTTTTTTTTTCTGTTTCTATGGTCTCAGGAGAAGACATAAATGTAAGACATAGAGGGCCCATAATGAGGAGGAAAGGAAAAGGAGGAAGAGGCAAATCAGATTAATAGTATTCAAAGATGAAGGAAGGGATAGGGATGTAGGTATCCCATGAACTTCATATTCATCTGAATCAGAAAAAAGAAAATTGAATATGATTTCACAGAAAAAGAAATGTAGAAACAGAGGCAGAGAAAGAGACAGAGAGATTAAGATATGTAAGCACATTAAACTAAAAAGAGACAGGGGTGAGCATGAACCAGAGTTTTCATAATGCTGCTTAGAACCTTTCTTCTGGCTGTGGTCAGGGTTCCAGGGCCATCCTGCTGATGAGCTCTTTTTCACTGGAGACTCATTACATCTTCATTCCCACCTACAATTGATCAGGGGATTTTACACATTGCAATATTGGGGTACAAGAATAACTTATTGATCAAACTCTAGAATATGAAATTCTACAGTGAGAAAAAAAATCTTTAGGATATTAGAAAATCAAAATCTTGGGACTTTCTATCGTCAGTACAAGAACACACTTGCCCAAACCAACCCTATCCAGAAAATGATAAGTCTAAGCCCTTCCTTACTGAATAGAGACAATTTTGTGAGGGTTTCCCTGACATCCTTGTTTCTCAAAGTTTAGGGTGGTTTAAGGAGGTTAAGGAGAGTTTAAGGTGGGCCTAACTGCTGCATATGACACAGCTACCAATGTGAGATGGGGCTGACATAAGCATAAAACACAGTGCGGTAGTACATGGTGACCACAATCAGGTGGGATGAACACTTAAGAAATGCTCTTTTCTTCTGGTCTATGGTATAGATTCTCATGCTTCTAGAAATGATGAAGCAGTAAGACACAATGGTCAACAGGAAATTTAGAAGTGAGAAGACATTAGCAAGGACTGTCACAATATCATTCATATACATTGAGTTGCAAATGAGGAGCAACACGGGGGATTTCACAAAAAAAAAATTGGTTAAGAATTGGATAGGGCCACAGAAAGAGCATTGAAGCATCAGCCCAATATCAATGGTCATGCTAAGTCCAGAGATTCTCCATAGGCCTACTGCCAGAAGGACACAAATCCTTTTACTCATCATGATGGTGTGCTGCAGGGAAGGGCAGATGGCCACATACCTGTCATAAGACATGGTTGTGGAGCGTGAGAGCTCACCAGACACAGACCAGGTGAGGAAGTACACTTGGGCCATGCATCTATCATAGAAGATGTTCTTCATTTCTGAAACTTGATTATCTAATACTTTGGGAAGAACAGAGGTTCTGCACATGATGTCTACAATAGACAAGTTGACTAGGAAACAATGTGTAGGGCTGTGAAGAACAGAGCTGCAAATGACCAACACAATGATCAGAATGTTACCAATGAGGGTTTCTGTGTATTGGCGAAAAAGTGCTTTAAGTGGATTTGGAGAACCCTTCAAGGATGAACTCAGTCACCAGTTTCTCATTATTTTCCACCATGCTGTTTAGAGATATTTTGTTTTCTTTATTTCCCTCTCTTGGTATCTTTTTACTTACATGTCTGTTTAAATAGTCCTAAAGCTTTTCTTCCAACTAGTTAAATGTTTAGTAAAATCAGAAAATAATAAATAAAATAAATACTAAAAAATTCAATCTTAGAATAATAATTCACAAGAGGAAATGTTTTTCAGGTCATGCTTCCCTGATTGAGACTCCCTGACAGAGAAAGACCTAGAATCTGTGGTGCATTGGCATTCCAAGGCACCCTAAAACGAGAACCACCCCACCAAGAGTTTTCTGAGGGATGCTTTGACATCCTTGTTCCTCAGAGTATAGATTAGTGGATTTACAGCAGGGCTCACAGTGCTATACAGCACAGCCACAGCCTTCCCTTTTTCAGGAGAATAGCTGGCACATGGACTTATATAAGCACAAAATACAGCAAAATAGTACATGGTGACCACCATGAGGTGGGAGGAACAGGTAGAGAATGCCCTCTTCTTCCCCTCTTCAGACTGGATCTTCAAGATGTTGGCAATGATAAAGCCAGAGGACATTATGGTCAGAAAGAAATTGGTACCACCCAAGAGGAGATCTGTCACAAGGGTCATAAGCTCATTCACCTTTGTTGAGGAGCAAGGGAGTGGCAGGACTGGGGCGATCACACAGAGAAAGTGATCAATCACATTAGGACAACAGAAAGACAATTGTACCAGCATCGCTGTGTGCATTCCAGAATCCAGCCCACCCATAATCCATAGCCCAGTCACCAACACCCCACAGATCTTCTTATTCATCAGAGTGCTATAATGCAGGGACCGGCAAATAGCCACATACCTATCATAAGCCATAGCTGTGAAAAGAAGGGGCTCAGAACCCAAAGCCCAAGAGAAGATGTAGACCTGGGTCATGCACCCAACAAAGGAGATGGCTTTCTTCTCCTCCACCAGGTTCTCCAACAACGTGGTCACCACTGTGGCTGTGCAAATGATATCCAACAAGGCCAAATTGATCAGGAAAAAATACATGGGCGTATGAAAACCTAAAGTGACTCGAACTGAAGCAATGATGAGGGAGTTGCCAATAAGAGCCAGGGCATAGAAGAACAAGAAGAGACAGAAGAATGAGATTTAAAGGTGAGGATTTTCCAAAAAGCCCTATAGGATGAATTCAGTGACCAATGTCTGGTTATTAAGAGCCATAAGTTTGGGAGATTGATTGTCCAAAAGGCTGGGGTATTGATTAGTCCAAAATGGCCTGTTGTGTCCTTGATGTGTTCCCTGAGCACTTGAGGACAGCAAACAATGCCTGAGAAAGGAAAAAAAAATTGATTTTTATTGCCTAATTTTAACCAAAAATCTGCAACAACACAATATTCACCATGGACAGAAATGAAGGAGTGCAATTACAGTGCAGAAACTAGACATCGAAATACTTAGTTTGGTAAGGATGAGGGATGGGTGATGCCTGGGACATGCAAGTGATTTCTTTGTGTTTTTTTGAATTTTATTTTCCTTTTCAATTAACAAGCATTTTAATGATGTTTAATGTTCCCACTCCCAATTCAAAAGAAAAAAAAAACCCTTATAACTTATGCTATTGAGTTATCATTGTCGTAGACTAGTGGGGTCCATCAGTAGATCCTGATACTCTAAGGAACACAGAAGATTAGATAATCCTTGAGCTAAGACTGTAACAGGGAAGGGTGTATGTGGTCATACAATACCAAGGAAAGAAGCAGCAGGTCCTCACAGTCTCAGGGTTGACCTCTTCTGAGTCTTCTGATTCTGCCTAACAATCTCACTTCATTTGCAGCCCAGGCTTCATACCAGTATAGGAAAGTCAGTGATCTGAGGCAGCTAAACACAGAGACAATGACCATCAACAAATAGGAGCCTTCTGCGGATTCATACAATAGAACATTAGCAACACCTCTCACTTGAACTCCAGTCAAGTGAAGTATGTGCCTCTCCAACTACCTATTACATGTTTCAATCAGGGTCTCCCACAGATAGCTTAAAATCAACATGTCAAAAACTGAACTCATTCTTTTGCCCTCCAAATCCTCTCCCTTCTGAACTTCCTTATTACTATTAAGGTCACTCCCTTCCTCCCAGTGACCCAGGCTTACACCCCACTTGTCATTCTTGAATTTTCATTCTGTCATTTCCCTAAATTCAATCGGTTGCCAAGTCCTACTAATTTTACCTTCATAACATTTTTCTAGAGGCCTCCTTGACACTGTGATCACCCTGATGCAGGCCCTCATCATTTCATGCCTAGACTATTTCAGTAGCCTTCTATTGCTATCCCTACTTCAATTCTCTCCATACTCTACTTCACCCTCCACTCAAATGTCAAATTAGTCTTCCTAATTGATCATGTCACGTTCGACCTTATTCAACAAACTTCTATGTTTCCCCACTAGAATCAAATATAACACCCTCTGGCAATCAAAGCCCTTTACAATCTGCACCCCTTTAACTTTCCAGTCTTCTTACATACTTTACTCTCTCACAACTACCACATATTCTGTGATCCAGTGACACTAACCTCCACGCTGTTCCTCTCACAAAACTCTCCATCTCCAGACTTTGAGTATTTTCACTGTTTGTCCTCAAGGCCTGGAATGCCATTCCTCTTCATTGTCACATTCTTTCTTTTTTGTCTTCCATCAAGTCCCAGGTAAAATCTCGTCTTCTGCAAGAAGCCTTTCTTGATCCATCTTAATGTGAGTGCTTGCCTTCTGAGATTATCCCCAATTTATCCTGTCTATATCTTGTTTATATAGAGTTGTTTGCATGTTTTTTCCCCCATTAGACTGTGAGCTCCTTGAATCGAGGAGGGAGATGAGGAGGAAGGAACAGCTGCAAAAATACTTAGAGTCTGGATATGGAGCAGTGTGAGAGGAACACAAGGAGGCCTGTTGTACTGGATCACAGAGTGCATAGGAACGGGGGGTGGTGAGAAGAGAGGTGTAGGAAGACTAGAAAGGTAGGATAGTGTCTGTTTGGGAAGAGCTTTAAATGCCAAACAGAGAATTTCATATTTGATTCTAGAGGTGATAAGGATACAACTAGAGTTTATTTCTGGTGATAGTGATGTGGTCAAATCTTCATTTTAGGAATTAATTTGACATATAAGTAGAGGACAGACTGGAGTAAGGAGACACTTGAGGCAGGGCCCAACCAGCAGGCTATTTCAGTAGTCTAAAACAGTAGTGGCTGCACTGAACAATTATCAGCATTTCCATAAATGTTCAGGCAATGAGCATTCTCATCTGGAGTAGGGCATCTCCTTGCCTAGAAGGAAAAAGTAATGATGGCTGAACAGTGGATGAGGTGACTTTCCCTGTTCTTTCCTGGTTCATGAAATGTGCATAGCAATAGTTCCCCTCTACCCCTGCCCCTGAGGGAACAAGTGATGGAGAGAAAAAGAAAATTCCCTTCCCTTGCCTCTGTAATGCCCACCTCCTCTCGGCAGGTCCTGGGCTGGGCCAGGCTCCAAGATTAGGAACCCTTACAAAGTAGTTTCAGTGTCTATGTGGTACAGTAATATAAAATCTTTTCCCTTTCTCAGTCTTCCCTGACTTCAACTTCAGGAAAATTAGGTGTGAACCTCCCTCAAGGAGGAAGTCTGTCACTTAGGATTGGAGTTCTTAACCTGGGGTCCATGAGTAAACCTGTTGCTTTAAATATTTTGTTAACTGCATTTCAAGGTAATCAGTTTCCTTTGAAATCCTTACATAACAGTACTCAAGAAACCAGACAGGATGTGTATAAGTCACATCCCACACTACCTCCAATTCCCCTTAATTGTTTCTCTGTGAAAGATTTTTTTAATGTAATTTCCCCAAAGATTCATTTATAGTGAGAGCTATGTATATTTAACAGGCTTTCAGTTATGATTATACCTGAGTCATCTTTAAGACAGGAAGATGAATATCTAGTGATCAAATGTTGGAATGGAAGGAAACTCAGGAACTGAAGTGGGCTTATATCCAGCCTCCCAGACAACTAATTGTTTCTGTCACCACTATTTGTGAGCCATCTACCTTAGCCTAAGCACAAAGATTTAGAGCAAGAGGGGGGAACCTGGCACATCAAGGCCACCTGTGGCCCTCTAGGTCCTCAACTGGGCTGTTTGACTGAATACTTGTGAAGTTTTGATTCAGTCAAAGGGCCACACTTGAGGCCCTAGGGGGCTACACGTGGCCTCAAGGCTGTAGGTTCCCCACCCCTGACTTAAAGTATCTGGTACATAGTAGACATTTCAAAAAATGCTTGTTAATTAATTGGGAGGTTGCTTGATTACAGCAACTACAAGTAGGATTATAGAATATAGTTGGAAAAGTTCTTAGAAGTCTTTCAATCCAACTGCTTTAATTTACAAATGAGGAAACTGAGGGATGGAACAGGTAAATGACTTGCCAGAGATCACACAATTAGGTGTCAGTGATTAGATATGTGTGTGTATGTGTGTGCATACACACATGCATGTATGTATGTATTTATATGTATTTGTATACACAGATAAGCAGAGGCTGATGCTTAAGACTAATGCTGGTCAACTAGGAGAGAATGTTCAAAATATTCATAATTACTAGGTAAGAAAGGACCAGCCTTGAAGTCAGACAGACCTTCCCAGTACCTGAAACAGCTCTTTAAGCCAATTATTTACAGAGCGGTTTCTTGCCTTAATTGATAGAGGTATTAGAGTTTTTTCCACACCCATAAAATCTTAAGCCTAAAAAAAAATTAGTTAGCAAGGATTACTAAAAATTTAATTAAGATGATATTTCATTAGCTGGGGGAAGGGTCAGGAGAAAGAACTAATATAAAAACTAATATAAAGCAATGAATATTAGAATTACAAATTATTATAGAAGTTAGCTTATTTCAAATGTTGCATTTTAGAGATAGAAAACTGAAGTCCAGTTGATGGGATCATACATTTAAAAACAGAAGTGACTAGAGCTCTATTCCAATACCATACTTTTGCATATGATGATATTGAGGCCCAGAGATGTTGTAACTTCCCCAAGGTTACATGGGTATTTAGGTGGCAGAACCAAGATCAGAAGCCAGACTATTGATCTCTCTACCACTTTCTGGCTACCTCATGGCATCCTCTTGCCAACATCTTTCTTTTTTATTGAGTAAATTCCATAAAACCCGATAGCCATGAGGTTGGCACTCACCTGGAACTCTTCCATCAATAATATCAAATGGAGGCAGTTCTCTTGTAGTCTCCTAGATGTTAACCTTGAGCCTTGCTTTTAGAAAAGTTGGGAGAAGGGGATCATTTTAGACTATTCAGGACCAATGACATGCAAATATACAATAATGCTAAGATCTCTGACCAACTGCAGGGCAATTCTTGAGAAAGGAAAAAATAAACTAGCTTTTAAGGAAATGGCAGTGTATGAGGGGGATAGATTCACACTGGCCACAAGGGATTCTCTTAATCAGGTTTCTGTGGGAAGGACCCTGAAGCAGCAATTAGCTGATGGTGATGGTGTTATGACTACTGTTGGAGTATAAACTCAATTCTAGGTCAGGCCTTCAGGAGAAAAATTCCTAAAGTTACCCTTACAACTTCAGCACAGGAAAAATTCTTAGTGGTCATGTAGCTTCTACTCATTTTACAAATAAGGAGACTGAGATACAGGGAGTAACAGTGAGTTGAGTAAAGCAATGGAGTAAATTAGTTGCAGAGATGGGAGCTAGAAGCCATATTTCCTGCTTCCTTGTCCAATGCTCACTAGTATATGATCTTGAATTCCAAAGGAACTCTTTATAAGCATCACTAACCTGATATTCCTTCTTTATCAGCTTTGGTTTTGAGAGGAATTACAAAGTAATGGGAAGCAGAGTGAATGAAAGGTGTGTGGTCTAGCCCTTGTTTAGCCACTAGCTGTCTTCCTGAGCTTTAAAATTCCTCCTGCAGTTGTATCCCTGTGCCTAGTACAGTGTCTGGAACATAATAGGTGTTGAATAAATTGATTTTATGGTCTCTAAGGTTTTAT